CACATTCAAATTACTACTAACAGCATTCTCAACATAAAACAAAGATTTAGCAAATTTAACATTAAGATTGAAATGATATAAACCATTAATTAATGTTCCAGATCCGAAATAGTACGAGTGTTTATACAAAGAAAAAATTTTGTTTCCAATCTTAAAATTAAAACCAAATTCGTCCAACGTTGTAACAAAAACTAAATTTCTAGCACATTCAGGAACATAAAGACATTTTTCTATATCTATACAGCAACCAGTATGCAAGATCAATCTGTAAGTCTCTATTCCTTCTATCTGTGCCTTCATTTTGTTCTCCATGTACAAGAACTTTTTACTTCCGCTTATGGGCTGGATTGAAAGAAATCTCTTTCCTTTCGAACCAAATGTTTCTCTTCGGACAATCTTTCTTGAAGTGACTAGTCTTCTTGCAGAAGAAGCACATCTGGCCCTTTTAGATTCGGCCTTCACGAACCTTTAATAAGGCCTTATCCTTCTTGTCCTTGTTGTCCTTCTTACTTGGCTTAGTCTTGCTACTACTAGCCCCTTCATGAAATGTGAGATGGACGAGTGTTCTTTCACCTTCTTCAGCCTCCCTTCCTCCTGAACCAGCATGACCATAATCTCTTGTATGTTCTATTTATCCTTAATGGTGTTGTAATTCACCTGGAACTGACTAAACTCAGGAGGGAGTGAGTTTAAAATGAATTGTACTAGAATGAATTTCTTTACCTCTATGCCATTGATTTCAACTTTGTCGCTTGATTGATCATGTCAGTCACATGGTCATAAATGGACCATGACCAATCAAACTTCTTAGTAGTCAGCTCAGTCAACAGGGTACCTAAACTAGACTTGTCAATAATGTCCAATTGTGCATACTCTTTTACCTTTGTCATAAATTCCCTATCATTTTCAGTCTTTGGCATCGATGGCTTCACATTTTCAGCCATAGTCATTTTCAACAAGTTCAAGCTCATCCTGTTCGACCTTTCTCAAGCTTCACAAAGAGTCTTTTCCTCTTCAGTATTGGTCTCTGTGATGGCTACACTCTCTTGTTTCATAATGATTGTTAGGTCTAAGTCCATAACACCTAACTGAAATCAAACTTGTTCAGCCCAATCATCATAATTGAGCCCATTAAACTTGACTACGTCATTGTTCATGTCATATGTATTCATAGGGACTGAAACATTTAATACATGCTTAAACGTTTATGCTTTGAATAAAATTAATAGATTTAGACAGCCAACTATTATCAATTATGCATCTAAGTTTACCTTTGGATAACGCCTAAATACACAATTTATCTATAATGATGCTAATAAACAACTTTAATTGACAACCAGTCATTCAAACCAATATGCAATTCATCTTTGGATATACAAACATATTATGAAGTGGTTACACGTCTCCTTAATGTCATTAATCATATGCAATGATCCACCTTTGGACGATCTTCCTTTATGTTACCATATAGCAACAAACAATTTTGAATAATTTACAACACACAATTAAATGCTTAAAGAACTTTTAAAGCCAGGCCACTTTGGTGACTAACAAGCTACCCTTAAAATTAAATATTAAATTGTGAAGTTCTCATTATGATAATGTAATTTAGAATTAATTAACTTGAGAATTTAATCAATTTGGTGAGTAAAATTTACTTTGATGTAATTCTAAAATTATCTATACATTTTATGAATCATTTTCCTTATTCTGCCATAAAATTACTATGCACGGTCGTGTTTTTACTTAATGCATGGCTATGCTTCGATGAAGCAAGGCCATGCTCATTTCTGATGCATTGCCCTGCTTCCTGAAGCATGACCGTGTTTATAATTGACGCATGGTCGTGCTTACAATATGCAAGGTCGTGCTTCGTTGAAGCATGACTGTGTTTGTTCCTGATACGTGATCCTACTCCTTGATATATAACCCTGCTCACTGATACATGGTTCTGCTCATATTACAGATTCAAAATCCAATGTTTCTAACTTTCAAAACCTTAGGATTTTCAGTTATTGAATCCAAAACAATTATTCAACATCAAAATAATGCTGATCCATCATATAAAATTCCTAGGATTCATGTAATTTGGGGAAAACTTTAATGGAGAACCAATCTCTTATGGATAATCAACAAAATTCATAACATTGCTCTGATACCAACTATTAGAATTTTCTTTAATTCATTATGTAATTTCTATTATGCAATGATTATTATGAAATTATCTTTTCCCTTTTATCTTGAATTACGTGGTTCTCACAACCCAATATATGGCTCTCATACAATTAAGGGTTTAGAAAGCACTAACCTGAATTCATTGTTCCTTGATGTTACCTTTCTTTTTTATGTCTTTGATCTCTTTGTATTTTCTCCAACTCTTCCTTCCTCTTTTAGCTTCTCTCGGATGGTTGAGAGAAAATTATTTTCTTGCGTTTACCGTGAGCTCACTCAGAGACTGTGAAAGTAAAAAAATAGAGAATACCGTGACCTCTATTTGGTAATAGCTCTTTTATTTTTCTGAAGGAAGAGGGGAATGTTTCCTTATAATTTGTATTTACAATTATACCCTCAATGACTCTATATTTTATATTTAACCACCATTGCATTAAATCATTAATTAGAGTCATGTTATAAGTTACATAAGCCACTATAATAAGATTATTAAAATAATCTAACATAGATAATCAAACATGATACACACAGGCATATTCTTCTTTATTTATTCTTTTTCTCTTCTTAATTGTTGAGAAATCAAACTTCAATCTAACGGTTTTGTAGGATTGAAGTTAATAATCGTTAATATAAAAAGAATTTGGGTAATTAATATTTAAGGAATTGATTCAACTGGAAGAACACATACTCATCACGTGATCGTAAGGTCCTGTTAAACATAAAATATGAATGTGGATGAAGTTGGTCAAAAGATTAATTAAGTCTAAACCAACTCATGATAAGAACACATTAATTGTCCCTGACCTAAGAACTTAACTAAGCGAAAGCGTTTAAGTTAAAGACAGGTATAAATCAACTAAGGATGAAAGGAACAGTCACTTAAGAATAACTTTATTAGGTATGGTAAATTAAAGTGTTTACCGCAAGTTTTATAAATAGTATTCATGTCTAAGATGTTGTTGTATCTCGTAAAATCAACATTACATAATATAGGTCCTAATAATTTTTCCTATAAAAATGAAAAGTGGTTAAACAGCTAAATATACTATAAGTAGAAAAACTTAAAGTGAACCTAGATCAACCAAAAATGGGAGTATGTTGTAAAAAAAAGTATATAAATTGGAGTGCCTATCAGTACAAAACTTGCCAAAACGTTAGGTTGAGAATTTATTTTTCTTATCCGATATGTTTTTAAAACTGATACGGACAGCAAGGTGGTAAAGTTATAAAACTAAAATAAAAAAGTTGAAAAAAATGATACTAAGAATAAACAAAAAAATATATATTAAAAGATGCTAAGAATAAACAAAAAAAAAACAATTATTAAAAGATGCTAAGGATTTTGACACAGTAATATTAATTAATATGATTAAAAAACATAAAATATAAATTATTAAGATGTGGTAAATTTGGTTTTAAAAAAAATGAATTTTGACACATTAATATTATCTAAAAAATATAAAATCTAAATTATTAAGATGTAGTAAAAAAAATCAATAAACGTCGATCTGTAAAAGTTTAAAAAATTGAACAATTTATATTTTACTCTAACTGAATTAAAAATGGTTTCCATGATATTTATTTTTCAAAGATTGACACTAGAAATTTCAATAATAATAATAATAATAATATATTTGCTTCCTTGTATGGTTGTTGATTGAAATAATCACATTTAAAGGTTTTTTTACATAGAGAAAAAATGAAAAATTTACTAAAATATAGTATTTTAGAAAATATTAGAAAAATATAGAAATTTTTAAAAAATTATCAGTAATAATTTTTTTCCAAAATCAAAAATTGCTATAAACGGCTTTTTATATTAAAATTTTATTATTTTTAAAAAATTATCATTAAATTTTGACTTTTTATAATTTTTTAATATTTCTTTAAAAAATCATAGTTAACAATTTTTTTAAATTTTATAACTTATTAACGCTTACACCAAAAATTATCATCGACAAATTTTAAATTTTAAATTTTTGTAATTTTTTAAAAATATTATAATTTTATACATAATTTTCAAATATAAACAAGTAAATCGACATTTAAATAATTAATTTTTTATGTATTTTGAATAAATTATTTAAAAAATATTTAAATGTTGTAAATTCCATAATTTGCAAACAGGACAGGGAAGCACAGAACATCCCACGCCACAAAGAATGATAACAACGTCAGCATTACCTAGAAGTCATCCTGGTCCCTGCCCCATGCCATGCATTACCACCAAATTCAGGTGCCGTCCGTTTTAGGGAAACATTACATTGCGTATCCTTCTATCTAAGTCACTCCATACACTCTACACGCCACAGATCATTTTATAAGGGAAATTTCCTTTCCGGATTATCAAATTCAAGTCTTCAATTCATTCTTCATCAAAAATAAATTTTGAATAAAAACAACTTCAATCATATTTTTAAATGTTTTAATATTTTTATTTTCTATTTTCCAATCGCAATTAATGATTTTCATCGTAATAATTAAATTTTATTATTGTATATGAATGGTTATTCAAATCTATTTATAATTTAAATTTAAATTTACTATTGGGAAAATATTATTAATCAGTTATTATAAAATATAGCAATATCAATGTAGTAAAGTAGCGGAACTTTACTTGTCCCCAAATGGCAGTTTTAGTTAACAATGTAATCCTATAAGGTAATACAAAACCTCGATAAAATTACTTAAGGTTAAATATATTTAAATGGTAATATAAAAAAATTACATTTTAATATATGTTAATCTTTACTATGTTATGAATGGCATCAATCATTTTGTATCACTGATCTTTCTATTTATCTCTTCCCACAACTGAAAAAGTGAATACTATAATTATCATTTCTGAATAAATAAAAATATAAAGCGTTGAATTTGGTACGAGTCAAGTGAGAACAGAAGCAAAAAAGGAAAGTAGGCACAAGGCAAAGAGCCAAGTGATGAGAAAAGTTCAGTTTTCCATTTTTAAAATGGAGTGTAGATACGGCAAAGTTTAGTTCAATTCCGAGCCCCCAGGCCCAGGTGCATTTTGCAGATCCAACACGCCTCAAACCCTATTTATATCCAACTGTCTCTGTTTTTTCCTTTCATTTCATCAATTCAATGCTAAAGCCACGCCTTCCCCTGTTCATAAACAACTCAAGGGTTAGTGTTGGTCACATCCATCAAACATGCGCACCTTGATTCTTGGCGTGCGTCAGTGACTGAACCTGAAAGAGCGTCAGGTTCATTTATAGCCCAGAACTGCCCTGTAGTGTAGTCCGTGTCACCCAATTCAAAACGTGAACAAACGTTTCCAGCTCCACCAATTTATTATTTTCTTATTACTACTAAAAACCAACCCAAGCTTTGCTAGTGCACTTGTTGCTTTGAGAACAAAACGAGATGGGTAATTGCCAAGCCGCGGAGGCAGCTACGGTGGTGATTCAGCACCCAGGGAACAAGATCGAGAGGATTTATTGGTCTGTTAGCGCTCACCAAATCATGGACTCCAATCCTGGTCACTACGTTGCGCTTGTTGTCTCCTCACCTACGCTTAAGTCTGAGAATGGCACGCCATTGAAGCAGCTTAAGCTTCTTCGACCCGATGACACTTTGCTTATTGGCCAGGTTTATCGCTTGATCACTTTTGAAGGTACGTCCCATATTATCATATCATATCATATATAATAATAATTAATTAATTCGCATTGTTTCTCTCTTTCTTTGGTTTTACAAATAAATGAATTGATTGTTTATATTTTGGTGGGGGAATAGATGTGTTGAAGGAGTTTGCTTCTAAGAAATGTGGTAAGCTGGGGAAATTGCTCAAGGAGACGGGTGGCCATGGAATTCAGATGAAGCACAGAGACTCCAGAGCACCCAATCCTAGTCCCACCAAGGTAATTAAGTTTCATGTTAATGCTGCTAGCTTCCTGTCCCTTCCAATTTGCTTTTCTTTTCCTTCATTTCATGCAAGTGCAACTAATTTAATTTTCTAAAATACTAATTTTTAAGTACCGTGTTTTTTTGGGATAAATACACCTGTTATGTTTTTAGTCTAGTTGTTAAGGGCTTTTTACCGGTGAATTTCTCCTTTTTTTAGAAAAATGTTTTGTTGATACCAACGGTGAAAAAATTTTATAAGAGGAAAAAGTGATGAATATAATGCTATTATATGATAAAAGATATATATTAAATATATATTGATACTGTTTGTTTAGATGTGTATGAATCGTGTGTGTGTGTGAATAGCTTTAAGGCACAGTCTAATTGGATTGCTGAGGTATAGCATTTTTTTTTTCTTTTTAGTTTTTTTTTTTTGACAGCGACAGAGGAAAAGAGGAAAAATAAATCAGGGAGAGAAAGAGGGCAGGGATCTTCTTTTCTCTGTATCTGACACGAATAAAAGCATATTTACCATCTTTTTTTCCTTGATTCTGTTTGCATGGGTAAATTTTTAGATAATCTTATCTTCTGTAAATCAGTACAACGTGATATTAATTAAGTACGGATTTCAAGACTGATTTTTATCTTTATCTTTTCTTCTTTCTCTAGGAAAGTTTTTTATTATAAATTTCCCTCACTTTTATTTGGGACTGAGACACTTGGGACTGCATGTAATGATTTTTTTCCCCAATTTACGAGTTTGATCTATGATAACTCGCACCTGTAGTCATCTTCAATCAATCTTATGCTCCTGTAGTTCTCATGTTAAAGAAGTTTTAATTAAACTCAACTACTAATTTGCTGTTGCGTGCTATTTAAACATTTTTAGTTGCAATGGCCAACAATATTCTACTATTACCTAATTTGTTGTGCTACCGGTCAAAGTTGTGGTAAAAACCTTTTTTGGGCATACGGGTGACCCATATAGGAGTATAAATTCTTGCCTATGCAGCATAGTAATTTTTAACTTAGTTTTCATAATAAATTAGGAAAGTACGTCAAACAATGCATGCTCCACTACCCAAATAATGCTACGTGCCTTTGTTCTATTACTTTAATGACTTTCTTAGTTTCTTCACGTTTCCACTTTCATGAAAGCACTACCAAATTACAAAAGGTACGTCAGGACTGCTAATCAGAGGATGGCATGGATGCTTTTAATTAAAGATATGATCGTTACAAGTGAGAGGTTTTTCTTAAGAAGAAAAAGCGAGAGACGGAACTTACATCTAACACAACCATTTGCGTTATTTGCTTTAAGTGAAGTGGTCAAGTGGCCAAGTAGGAAAATTATTGGAAGAGCCGCCCTCGATTACCAATTTGCATTCGGCCTAAGTGCCTAAAGTGGCTAGTTGGAGATCCATTTGGAAGACTAATCCGTTATTACTGCCCAATAATTTTTTATGCTTGACCAATTGATTTCCACAGTATACAAAAGGTGCAAATCACAAGTTTAAAAACCGATCAAACAATAAATTTATCTTTGCTAAAGAAATAGTATTACTGTTCCATAGACGTTGATTTATTCACTGTTGGAGCCACCCATCTATGACTTCTGTGATTTGTACTATGAATCAATATGATTTGTCATTTTCCCTTTACCTCTTGGCGTGTGTCTACCCAATGCAATGCTGTAATGCCATTGTTATTTCTTTTTTCTGTGCATTGTCAGGTGGAACAGGAGATTCAACAAATGGGAAACAATGGCGGCAGCAGCAGCAGCAGCAGCAGCAATAACAAAAGTGTTGGAAGGCAATTCGTTGGTGGTGGTGGGCAATGGAGGCCAGCCTTACAGAGCATTGCAGAAGTTGGAACTTGAAAGCACTATTAGCCCCTCACTCCCATGAATAAAACCATTTCACTCTTTTCAATACATTCATATTACCCTCCTTAGTTAGTACCCTACCATATATAGGGTCTGTGTTAAACGTAGTTCTCATTATGTCATGACATGGAACATGTACTATACATCTTGAACTTACAATTAGTCATTACCCAACTTGTTGTAGAATATCATGCTGGTTTGTTTTGTTAGACTTAATTAAACCGTTTTCTGAGTTGCCTGGTTTGGTTTGGTCGTGTGTGTAGCTTTGCCTTGAAATTTTGGTAGTGGACCAGTCTATGGATTTGGATATACATTTGAATGTTCCACTGCCTTTCAACGCCTCTCGATTCTTCACAAACTAATTGCCCATGAAACTTGGGAATGTTGATGTTGTGGTCCTATATAATATATCCTTTTCCCCTATTATGGTTTCTTTACGTGTATAAATTATATAGGATGTCTACACACGCTGTGGCACGAACAGCGTCTGAGATCAATTCAACCCCACGAGAAAAAAATGCTGTCCACAATCACATAATAAAGAGTACAAGAAAAAACAAAAAAATTCTGAGCTCAAATTATAAGATCCGACGTATCTATGGTAGTGCTAGCTCCACTATGCACCATTTACATATCAATGTTTGTATGTACCTTGGTTGCTTTGATTTGATGGAATCACGGGTCAATGGTGCAAACACTTTATCCCTTGCTTTTTATTCAATTCTGCCTTTAATTCAAAAGACAGGATATTTGTTCTAAATATTGTCTCTACGTTTTATCAACATGCATGTGCACTTCGATCTGTTGCTTGTTCACAAGGGATATATATGACCTCCAGCTGTATGAAACGTGCTTAAATTTCCTATTTTGTTAGTTTTCCATTCCATAATGTATTTATTTAATGAAACAATAATCGATGCATGAGTAAATATTGTAAATATTTTTATTATTTGAATAATTAAAATTGACTTATATATTTACTTTTATTTTTCACTTATTTTACGTATTCTAAAAATATATAAAAATAAAAAGAACTAAAAAGTTGTTTCCAATAATTGTAAACAAAACAATTTTATATTGCGAATTTTAAAGTTTCGATATTAACATTATTGAAAAAGGTAAACACTAACTAATTTTAAAAGGATACATGTTAAAGAAATAAAAATAATTTTTTATTAAAAATGCTGTTAATGAAATTTCAGGTAATCTCTAATAAAAAAAAATTATTAATTTTTTAACTAGCATACTTAAAACATTAGTTTGCAAGACCCTTAAAAATACAACAAGCGTGATGAAGTGTCTTGAAGAATTATAAATAAATAAAAAATTATTAATAAATTTTTAACACGATCTTTAATATTTTTTTATTTATTGATTTGTTAAATAATGTTCTTAAGATATTCGCAAAAAAAATTAATGTTCTTAAGATATTGATTAGTAAGGAAAAATTAGTTGTAAAATAATAAAACAACAATTAATAACCTTTCGTACTGCAAAAGGGAGGAAATCTAATTACTTTTTACACCATTTTATTTTTTGATAATTGTAGCATCCATTTTTTTATCTTTTAGGATTTAATTTTTAAATATAAAATTAAATTTTGAAAGTAATTTGTAAATGGCTTCTCAAATTTAAATGTTAGAATATATCAAACACGCTTTTAAAAATTAAATTAAAAATAACAAAACAATAATGCATTCTCTATCTCTAAGGCACTTACAACTAAATTAGACACACAAGTTGTTAAATTTAGTTTTTTTATTTATTTCTTAGAAAATTATAACATGAAATTTTAATTATTATTTAATATCATTAAACCTAATTTTACTATCAACATTTATTTTAATTTAAGTTTTCACCAACTCTATTTATTAAATAATAATAACTATATACTTCATAAAATCACAAAGTACCTTATAATAAAAACTACTAAAATATTTTTAAAAAATGATTTATAATTAAGATCATAGAGAATAATTAATAAAAGAGGATAGTGAGATATAATAAAAACTACTAAAACATTTATGTGTGTGTTTTTATACATAGAGCCATATATCTGTTTTGCTTTTTGTCTCATATATCTGTCTGCGTTAAGGCTTTAAACATTCGTATTAAGCTACGTAGGGCTGGGTCTGATCCAAGAAAACAAAAAACAACTGTCTGTGTGGCAAGGCTTAAAGAAAGAAGCCTACTTTTGAACATTGACAAAAATCAAGAAAGGAGCAAAAACAATGAGAAACATGGCTACTTGGTAGTATCCAAAGAAAAGCCTAATGGTGCTAATAAGCGTCTAGCACTCAAGCAACGCCATTTCAGATCTTCAAGGCTTAATTCCAAATGCTTACACCACAAATATTTAAAATTATTAGTAACAAGTTCTCCCAAAAAAAACAAATTAGTAGCAATATTCCTGCAATGTACAAAGTTTGCTACGAAAGGCCGAATATGTTATTAAATAAACAATTTTATCAAGTTTGCTATAGCGAGAAAAACTTGTTATAGCAAGAATGTCGCAATTCTGAAGATATTTAAGGATTTTCATGCATGAAAACTTTATTTTCTTCACTTTCTCTCACTCTCTGAACTCTCTCTACAATTTATGAGATAAAATTCCTCAAAACACCAATTTCTTCCCAAATTGGTGATTATTCATTCATTCCACGCGATCCTAAGTAAGTTTTCTTAAGTTTAATCATGTTTTTACCATTCATTTTCTTTGAATTTTTCTTAAGGGATAACTTCGTGTTATCTAGGTAGAAGTATCATTTTTGAATGTTCTTCATCATCAACATCTATATAGATCTTCATTGAAAGGTAAGGGGAGCTCTATTTTATTATTATATGTTATAGGTTATATGTTGAACTTAAGAGAGCATTTTTATAACATTTTTTTTATGATGTGTGAGTAATAAGCATTAATAAAGAAAGATTGTTGATAGGTATATGTTTGATTGTTTAAATAACTAATAATACTATGATCATATGAAATGTATGGTAAGAAAGCATGATATTCTTACAAAGCGAGTGTTGACGATATTTATTGAATGATATGATTATTAAGATCATGAGTTAGTGATATGAGCAATATGTAATTGGTTTAGAAGTGCTATTAAGCACGATTCTGTGATTGGATTGAGGAATGAACATGAGAATTGAATGGATATGGTGTAAATAGTGACAAAGATACACTAGGGGTATAGAGTCCGAAGACGATACGATATTTGAAAAAAACGTAGGGTGGTGAGTGACATTCGTGTTTGGGTACACATTTTGTCTGAGAGCGAATGCGCCACATGGCCTCACACTCGGTTTCCAAATAGACTCTTGATTATGTCTTTGCTAAGTGGCCCATTATTGTATATGTTGTATTTATACGCATAGGCTAATCGACAACTATTTACATGATTGAGTAAGACCTCGAGAATTGCTGCAGTCATCGAATGACTATGATCACAATGCACTTAAAGTATGAAATTGAGAATGAAAATGTCAATGAAGTCGTGTGAACATGTGTGATGATTGAAACATATGATATGTGGTAATGTGATATAAATTGATGTTTAAACTGTATAATTATAATATTGCTATGATATTTTTATGTTATATTTGAAAAATAGAATAGATGCTCACCCTTACACAATCTTGCAGGTAGTAAAGATGACGACATGTCTCATGCGGATTAGCATAGAAGATGTTTATGCTAGTAGTAGATTAAGTTATGTTTTTAGAGAATATAGACGTGTTGAATTTTTAAGTGTATTTTAAGGAGGATCAAGAGTATACATTAGAAGTATTTATAATTATGTAGTTCTTTTTTATTTCCCCCTAGTGATCAAATTCATCAGTCTCTTAGTTTTTATTTGTATCAGGGAATAGATAAGCATTCTCGAATCATGAATAATGTATTTACCTATCATGATCATGATTTACTAGAAAGACCAAATAGTTACACATTTGAAAGATTTCCTAGTATAGAGATGGTGGCAGACTTTGGTGACGCCTATCTTAGGGATGATGATGAATTAACCGCAGAAGATTGGACAAAAATTGAGGGTTAGTATGATATAAAAGACTAGTTTTCAAATATTCAGTATATAAATATGGATGTGAACTATTGTAAAATTTGGATATAGTTTGAATAGAGATGTACAAATATGATACATTATGTTGTAATTGAGATATTTCAGTATGTAAATATTGATCTACAGTATATCTTATGTAGTTGTTTTCTTAAATTTGTTTCATACACGAGTTGACTAATACGAAAGGTTTTATCTCAGCAAATTTTAATTAACTAATATAACAAAAGTTTAATTATTCTTTAAATTTTTTTATAAATTTAATATATTCAAAGTAAAGAAATGTAGGGTGCTACCAAAATATTATAACATGACATTTTTAGCATAGTAATTGATGTCTTGTTTTGAAATGAATCAAAGCAACAAATTTTTGAAATTCATCTAAAATACTTTTTGTTAATATACAAAGTGAGTTACAAATGAGAACTCTTGTTTATTTTTCTCATACAATACAAAACAACTTAATGATATTTAATATAGGAATAACCAAACATATCATAATAATCAATTAAATGTTTTAGTGAACGAGCGATGTTATTTATTTATTATTGAAAGAAAAATCAATACAAGGTGTAGTGTTTGAAAATTGATGACAACAATTACGACTTTTTTTTGTAAGCTTCACTTATATTGTTTGTGGTGGTGACACTTTTTAAAAAAGAAAAATGATAATTTTTTTCTATAATTCTTCTTATTTGATAATTAGATAAAAAAACGATTAATCTTGTTTCAAAATTTTTAATTATGAATTTGAAAGTTATGCCATTAATTTCAGTAACACAAAAAATATTTTTATAAAGTTCAACTTCTTTGTCATATTTCATCTTTTCTAATAAAAAATTGTGAAAAGATAAAAAGAACATATAATAAAAAAATGGAGTTAAAATATATTTATTAAAATTAATTTAAAATTATTAAAAAAATAGAATCAATTCTCATGAAATTATTTCCTTAATTACAATTAAAATAAATTATTTCAACAATGTCTTAAAATATATATAATTAGTAATGTAAAAAAAAAAATTAAATATACATATTTAACTTCTATTAACTCATATAATGAATGTACTTAAATTTTCCAAATTTAGAAGGACGATAGAAATTAGTTACAAAATATAGTAATATAATTTTTTTAATGATCTTACTCTAAGATTTTCAAATACATAATTGAAAAATACTATTTATAAATTTTTTTAGAATAAATGAATATATTTTGAAAGGTAATTATAATTTTCATTAAATTTTTATAAATCTTTTAATAAAAAGAAAAGATATTGAAAGGCAATTATAATTTTTTATTAAATATTTATGAACTTTTTAAAAAGCAAAGAAGATAATTTGAAAGGCAATTATAATAATAGCTATAAGTTGTGCCCTTGTGCGTGATTTGAAATTTCCTTCTTGTACCAGCGTTAAGCTTAAGGTGACGACAAGAGAGAAAGAAAAAGTCAAAAAAGTTAACAGAAAATTTAGAAAGCCCTTGAAAAAGCAGATGACAGCCAAGTGGAAAAGCATGGCGACATCCACACTTCCACTGTGAAATGTGCCGTTATCACAGGACAAATACTTTTTAAAATATATTATTTTAAGAGATTAAATTATTTATTACATTAATTATTATTTTTCAATTATTTTTATTTTTTAAATAAAACAAAATAATTAAATATTTTTAAAAAGCTATGCTGTCCATTATGATCTTAATTACCTTGAATAGAATTATCTTAGAGAGATACTTTTTTTTACTTGTAATATAAATAAAAAAAAAATTAAGAAAGTAAGTTATGATTGTTTTAAAAAAATTAAATTTCGATGATTTTTAAAATACCTATTTGAAACCTATTTTTATTTAATTTTTATATAATAAAAATTTTAAATAAATATCCATCAAAAAATATTTTTAAAATAATATTTGTTATTATTTTACATTTTATATTTTAATTTTAATTTTCATATAATATATATATATATTATTCTCCATATAAATATTTTTAATTTGAATTATGTACAAAAAAATTCTAAATTAGATTTTATTGATGCTAAATTACAATGAGAATGTATAAAGGAAATATAATGCAACGAAAATAAGCTATATATAATAATTGTATATAAAAATCTAAGCAAAATTGATATAAATTTAAGTTTATAAACAAAAAAAATCAAATTAAATAGAAGACTTCTATTGATCTCTTAAATAATTAAAATTTTTAAAATAAAATCTTTAGTATTTGTAAGCTACTTTATATATTGTTATTTTATAAAAATTATAGTAAAATAGATTTAAGAGAGTTAATATATTTTACAAAAATGAGTATTTCAAATTACTAAAAAATATGATGGCACAAGAAGCATTTGAAAAAAAATTAACATTGCTTGATGATTATAATAAATTATAAAATTGATAACAGAATGTATTCTTTAAGAATTAACTAAAAAATATTTTAATTTTATTTATTATTAAAGATTAATAAAAAATCATGTAAATTAATTTTTGGACATCAAAATAATAATAATTATTATTATTATTATTATTAATCAGCCACCAGGTTGTTGTCATTGTTATTATTATTTTCCAAGAGAATAGTATGTCATATATAAAAACCGTGAGAAAAAATTTGTTGTTTATTAAAATAACAGTAATAATGTTTGAAAATAATAATAATAATTGTGTACAGGAGCTGCAAAAATTACATCCGCCACATTTATCATTATCGTTGCCGTGAAAGCGTATTTGTTTCCTTTCCTTAGTCGGTTTGGTAATAGAAAGGAAACAAGCAACCTCCTCCGAGGCTTTACACCGCCACTCAATTCTCTTTATATACATAAATCCCTTATCTTCCCCCGATTACGAACCATTTAGTTTCTTTCTTTGTCTAAATTTCCTAAACATGAGCTACTACGATCATCAGCAACAGCCTCCAATTGGTGTTCCTCCCCCACAAGGTATGTTCATCTGTTTTTAAGGTTTTTTTCTTTTTCCTTTGGGAGTTTTGTTCAATCATTTTGGCTATTGGGCATGATTGAATTTATTTGTTTTGTTGTGAAACTGTCAACAGGGTATCCTTCAAAGGACCCTTATCCTCCTCCAGGGTACCCTGCTCAAGGTTACCCTCCACCGGGGTACCCGCAGCAAGGCTATGCTCCACAGTACGTTCAACAACCTCCTCCTAGGCAAGAAACCGGTTTTCTCGAAGGATGGTATGTCTCTCTTTCTCTTTCCACCTAGTATGCGTTGATGCTATTGATCTCTATAAAAGAGTTTCAGGGTTTTTCCTTTTTCTTTTTTTTATCCGAGTTTTTTATTTTTAGAAATTGGACTGATATTTATTTAACCAGTGTTTTTTCTTTTGATTTTCTAGGGTTTTTAAAATGTTAATGATCTCGTTGATTGATAAAGAAAAGAGAAATTCAGAGAAAATATACCAATTCCTTGATCCATCTAGTTACAAATTTCTGAAGTCATCGTCTTTCTTACAGTCTCTGCTAACTAAATAACCGTGATATGTGATCGTTTGTAGTTAGTTTTTATCAGTATGTTAAATTAGAAGATAGGAGTCAATGCATTTGTTAAATTTAGATTTTGTTAATCTCATTCTAATTTAAACATTTAAAAATAGTACGTTTTAATTCAAAAATCACAATTATTCCATTAAGGATATAACAAATATTTTATTTTGAAAAATATTAGTATTAATTGGTTAAACTCAATCTTCAGTCTAGAAGTTAACATCTTCCAATATGTTATGGTGTATGTTTGTTTCGGTCTTTTGATATCTTCGATCTTTGTTAATATCTTGTTTGGTTTGATATTGGTATCCGTGAGATCACGGATCAAAAATCACACAAGCTTATGCTTATGTCTTTCTTTTGTAGTTTGGCTGCACTCTGCTGCTGTTGTCTACTCGACGCTTGCTTCTAAGTTCTTGAGACGTGGCGAATTATTCCGGGAGGCAACGTCAGGGCCTTGGTCTATTTGTTCTTTCAATTCAATATTAGGATATTAACATTTGTAAGATTTTATTCAGACATGTTTTGTTTGAGGATTTGTAACACGACACGGTGAAATTCCTGAAGTGCCTTATGAATTCTGCATTTAGATATTAAGAAAAATATTTGAATTGTTAATGACGTTAAAGCATAAGAACCCGTTGGGTGTCATGTTATTGCGATTCGTCATCTCTGGGATTCTTTTGTTATGCAGTTACATTAAAAAATTTCTATTTGTTAATTAATTACACGAGCGATTACATTAACATGCACTAGAACACCATAGCATCCTCCTTGTACACCGGAACCACCATGATCGGAGCATGCAAAATCAACGACATCGACCTTTGATTAAGTTTCAATGTTTGACGACAGCAAGACATGCAAAGCAAGTCGTAATTACCATCGCTTTCAATGCCTGCAAGGCTAACCGCTGGCCTCCAGACTGCCCAGTCGCAATCTAGAATGGAAAGACTTACTGATATTTTAGTTAAGAATTAAATAAAAATAAATAAAATTGACGGTGAAAAGCCAACGTCAGAAGATTCTTTTTCCAATCGTTATTTAATTAAATAAATTATAACAAATAAATTTTAAAAATTAGTTAAATTTATTATCAACCCTTCTATGTTAAATTTGTGTTGTTATTTTTTTTACAGTAATTTTCTTTTAATCTAATCTCTTTTCCAGTAAGTTATACACTACATTTTTTTATCACTTTTTTATTTATTTTAAATATTAATTCTTAAATATAATTGATTCCAATTTAATAATTAATAAATGACATATGTATTTTAAAATTGATAATGATAAAAAAAAATTTCACCTCCAAATCATTTGATGGAGCTGAATTCTTAAAAAATGATTAATTTTTATGTACAATTGCTTTTATCAGACACTCGAAGAAATAAAGAAATAGTTGTTACTCGAAATTTTTTGTTACTTATTTAAAAGTTACACTATTAATTTTAATGATAGAATAAAACAATTTTATGAAATCTTAATTCCTGTCACTTTTTATTTTATTTTTTATATAAAGCCGTGAAAAGATAAAAAGAGTAAAAAAAATTTAAAATATAATTATTAAATTTATATTTAAACTTTTAGAAAAATCTAAAAAGTAATTCTCGTAAGATTATTTTTCTAATTATAATAATTAAAAAATTATTTCAATAATTCTTTAAAAATTATATCATCAATGAGGTGAAAAGAATTTAACACACGTTTAATTTTTAATAAATTTTAAACCTTTCAAATTTTGTAAGTACGATAGTAATCACTTAAAATTTTAATTTAATGGTTGATTTTAATTTTTTTATAAAAAAATTATTGTTAGTGTAATTATTTATATAACTCGTCAGTAGAGTTTAATTGTGGTGCATTATTAACATAAAAAATTTTATATTATTAACTATATAAAATATTTTGTAAATGTGATTATATATTAATTATTACATAAATAAGTAATTTGGGCTGATAATTAATTATTGAATAATAGTGAAAAAAATTACACTGCTTATATTTAAATATTGAATAATTAATTTTGGCTAATAATTAATTTTAATTTTTTTTTATCTAATAGACAGAAATTTTCATTATTGACAAGAAAGACATTTTTTTTTATCGTATTTCTTCTTTCTTATATGGTTTCATAAATTATTTTAATAACTTACCTACAAAATGAATTAAAAAACTATAATTTCTAAATTCTTAAAAAATTCGTTTAAAAATCAGTAACTTTCAATATACACCCGCTAATCTGCTAGAGTCCTAATTTGCCTTTTGAGTTGCTATTTTACGCCATGGTCTTCAATTAAAAGTTGATTTACTCCACAATTAAAAGTAAAATAAAAAAATAGTAACTTTCTTTATAAACTGCTACTGATCAGGTTTTTTTACGTAATTAGGGTTAATTTAGAAACTAATTATTTAATTAGAATATTTCTAAAACATATTTTCTGAGTAAGGTAAAAAAAATGTCACATCACATTTAGTATCGACCTAATTAAGTATGATATTCTAATTTTTTTAAGGAAATATCTTTCTACGCAAAGATAATATTGTTATAAGCTAATACATGTTATATAGTGAGGCAATATCGACCTAACAATGGACGGTACTAGTTGTAAGCTAACGAGTATCATATAAAGAAGCAATAGCGTTCCTACAGTAGATAATATTGTCCATAAATTACCACGTATTAATTAGGGTATAAGTTTTATCCCACAAGAGACGATATTGCTTAGAAGTTGTCACGTGTCAATCGATAAACAAATTTCATCTAATGGAAAGATGATAATCGTGTAGTCCACTGAAAGGACAATATTATTGTCAGCCACTATATAGATTATACTTATTTTAATTTTGACACAGTAATAACCAGCCTTTTATCCATTATATAATAATTGGGTCTACTCTTTTATCCAAAATAAAGTGTTTATATTAACATTACAATTGAATATAAATAATAGCATTCTTTTAGCAATATAATAGTCAAATTTGTAAATATTATTTTATTTGTTGAATAATTATTTAAATAATTAATATTGTCTAGTTGTATTTTGAATCATACTATTTAGTTGCATTTAGAATATTTTTATGTGTTAGTATAATATTTAAAATTTTAATAATAAGTATAATTTAAGTAATGTTTGAATATAGGAACTATTTTAATAAATTTTATATAATACAAATATACATAAAATAAATGTGATATGATACACTTTAGTTTACTCATAATACGTTAAATTATATAATTGATATATTTAAATTATTTGTATAATATTAATAATGAGTTAATAATTAAATTAATAGATAACTAATAGTTATTGTTATTATTATGTATTAATATTTTTAAATATAAGAAGAATGAAATTGTAATTATTATATATTAGAATAATAGCATGTGTGAAGTGTAGATTCAACCAACTCAACTTTAAACTACTTTTAAGAAATATCTCAATAGGTGGTCTAATAGAAAATAAATATTTCATAGTATGCACTTGAGTCACCTCCTATAAGTGTAATGATTGACCATCCAAAGACTCATTAAATTAATGGATAATTATTATTTATTATTATTATGTATTAATTTTTTTAAATATAGAAAGAATTGATAAGTTTATATTTTAATATATTTTTATAGCCAATATAATGATAAATATCATTATTTTATTTGAGTTATACACTAATTTCTATTATTATTATGCAGATTAATATGAGAAGGCCAAGTTGGGTTTTTGGTGTATTTTGGACTCAAAATTGATTAAAAATAGAATTTTGCTTTAGTCAGCATACTTAAACCTCCGTAGCTAACATGAGAGTATTTCAACCACATGCACGATTGTGCTCATCTATGGAAAGCCCAACTATCAAGCAATTTTAGAGATTCTAAACCCTATAAAAGTGACTTCATGGAAGTGACTTAGACATCCTTTTTCATACCTTTCACATCTATTGTTCATCTCATCCCTTTCACACCTTTATCACATTTCTTTCATATCCCAACATTGGTATTAGCTAGTTGCTGACGACTATTAGAGTTTTAGGACAGCGTCAAATCAAGAGTTCTCCTTGTCTCTTTTTTATTAAGGACTCCTCTAATTTGCATTTATTTTTTGAGTTCTATAGATTTGTTTAGTGTTGTTTTGATTTCTTTTATATTATATTTGGTCAAATCCATAGTTAGGGTTATAGTGAATTCTTTGCATAACTTTATAAGATAATTTTTATTGATAATAATTTCATATTTCCTTTCTGGATTGGTGTTTACCCTATTGCATTATATTTGTATGTTTGAAATTGATAACTCTTAAATATATCATAATAAAATATATTGTAAGTGACCGTATTACATATAGAATAAAATGAGACATAATTTTGTGGACCAAATAAATATTTCTCTTTTAATCGATATTAAATTAACAGCACATAAGCTCTTTATCTTTTCTTTTCCTTTTACCTTATATGACTATGGTGATAATAGTTTTGAGAAAAGACTGTTAACATTATATGACCATTGGGTGTTAATAGCTTTAGTATGAGTGATTGACAATCATAAAGAAACTGATATTAGACATAATCTAAAAGAGATCATAAAGAATTGTAGAGATGAAATCATTTGCCCTAAGTTCTTCTTGATTAGTTTATTGTCAGATGTTGCACTATTTTTAATTCTATTTTAATCACTTTCATATTTGAATTCTTGTTTTATTTAATTTTATATCCTTTAAGTTTAAATAATTAAATTAAAAAATTCTTAATAATTGAAAACAATCTTTGTGAGACGATAATTCAAAAATTTATTTAGAATCTTTATTATTTTTTGACAAGTACACTTGCCCACGAACAAGAATGAAATTGTAATTATTATATATTAGAATCACAATATGTGTGAAGTGTTGGTCCAACTAACTCAACTTCAAGCTACTCCCACTAAATGTCCTAGTACGTGATTTAATATTAAACAAATCTTTCACAATCTACACTTAAGTTACCTCCTAGAAGTCAATGATTGACTATCTATTAATATAAAGACTCATTCGAAAAGTAATATCCTAAAGAATAATGACACTCTTTAGGTGGCATATGGAAGGTAGTCTCTAGCCTTCATTTTTCACTAAAGTTGTAATAAGATTTAGTCAATTAAAAAGTTTGTCAATTATAAAAATTATTTATTTAAAGAATTTAGAATATAAATTGACTAAAAATTAACATTAAACTAATAAAATATTAACACAATTATTATTACATATTCCACAAATTATAAACTTTATTTACTAATAATAATTAAATTAAATTAAACAAGACAAGATTCAAATAAATCATGGAAATATTTTCTTTAAATTTTATATTTATTCACAATTATTAATCATATCAAAGAATTAATTATTACAGTATTTAATTTATTTACCTATAATTTCAATAATAATTTTTTGAAATGAATTATTTTAACTTCCTTATTGTT